CCCCAAAACCCCAAAACCCCAAAACCCCAAAACCCCGCAAGCGGTGGGACTAATAGAATTTAGAGAAAAATTGTCATGATATCTAGCATTATCTTATTAAATTAAGTTCTAATAACTGTTTGTTGACTTATAAGGAGTCTTCTTGTTCATCTTCTGACCCTTGGTAGGATAAATAGGAGGTAACTTGGGAAGCTGAATCCCTTGTACAAAAGATTTCATCTTGGGGTCGCAATTTTCTTGGGTATTTTTCCTTGTCCTTGATAAGTTCAATAATTCTTTCTTTGGGAGTTCTGAAAATCTTTCTAAAATACAATTTAGCTAAAGTGCAAAAGGATTCTTACTCTCAAGCATCTTTCTTGATAGGTTCCTTCTCTTTAAATCGTTTTTAATTCCCAAATCAAACATCGGACCGATCCTTCTAGCTTGAGGGGCTAATTTCATCACAGGAGGAGAGAAATAATTATTTGCTTTATCACCTAAATATATATGTTAGACAAACTCGATATTTTAATGTGTGAATATTGCAGATGAATTCCCGATGGAAACTTACTCGATTTAGTTAACGTCTGCGATAAATTAGCTTCAGAACTGAAGCTCTTAAGGCCCATTATCTTCTTCATATTCGCTCTTCTCATTCTATTATTACTGGTAAATATGATTTTAAGAGAAAGAACTTTAAGAATTATAGATTAAAATTTACTACAGTTATGCAGTTTCCTATCATAAATTATAATTTATTTAGGATATAGCATAATTTTAAGGAACTGAGAGACCAAAAAGCCTACTTTTTGATGCTAGTAGTAGCCTTGGGAACTGGTAGCTTTATCACCTGGCTTTTTATTGCTCCTACTGATAGATTTCGATTCTTTGGCTCTACTTCATTAGATGGCCTGGCTTCTTCAATATTTTCGATTCCCTCAATCTTTCTCATAGACTCCCTTTGCTTGTTAAACCTATCGTAACAGTCCTTCTGAATGGTTATAAGCTCGATAGTGCTCCTTTTCTTCACGGTAGGTGAAAGCTTCTATACAAAGTTAGTCTTCATAAAGCACTTTAATAACTAATAATAACGAGAGTAAATTATTCGACAAAAAGAATTTTCTTATGCTAAAGCATCCAAGTCCTACTTTTACCAATCAACTAGGGACTATCTTGTTGTAAAGAGTGGGGATGCTGGAGCCCAAATGCAAGACAGTTAGTTTAGAGTTTATCAGATCCGAATTTTCGATTCTGATTTTTAATGCTAATAATATTAAAAATATAGCACTTCTCGAAATACAAGTTAAAATTTCTTAACAAACTGGGTGATAATAGGAGATATCGTTATGAAAAATCTATCTCCTTGAGGTATTTCAACCAATTTTCCCGCAAATAGAGATCAAAATGGAACTTACTAAATCAGAGGCTTCTGCTTTATCAGAAAGTTTGCTGAAAGTATTCTTAAGTAGTACCACTTTGAGTAAATTCTTCGGACCATTAGTACATCTCCTGACTCCTTTCACTTCAGATCCTGAAGATATTAAGTTTGATCCCTGATTTATTCCTATAACTCTGTGGTTAGATAAATTCTTGACTCCCACTGTTTGTCTCCACAAAGAAATAGAGATAACATTATGAAGTAAAAAGTTCAGACAAGTTAAGTATATTATCAGCTGTCACTTCAAAAATTATTAAACCTCTTCTTTTGAATATTTTTTATTCTTGTTCCTAGGATTTTATTGGGGAGTTGGTAAATCCAGAAACTTAATTGAGTATAAACTAACTGTAGAGATGGGGAAATAATTCCGGACCCCTCTAATTCTATTACAAATTTTGGATAATTTTCTGAGAAATATAACGGTTTCAGTAAATAAGTATTATAGTGAGTATATCTCATAAGTGAAGTTTTTAAGAAGCAGAGGCAGTATGAACCTCACTGACTCCTTCGGTCCAGTGAGCAGCAAAATTTTTATATATAGTCATCTTTTAGTCTATGTTGGTTTAATTAATCTGATATACAGAAATTAAACTTGGTTGTTTGCACTCTGAAGCACTACAAACCGGAATTGGAGGATAAGGCTCTACTTACTTTGAGGAGTTACTCATGAAAATTTCCTAGCACTACTACTATAAATGAAGGTTAGGATTCTCGTTTGAAGGATCAATGTAGAAAAGAAGAAAGACTCTAGCTTAGCTTTGAGGTATACTTTTCAGAAATACCTTTTGAAAGCATCTTTTAAATAGATTTCTTCGACAAACCATGGATTATCAATGTCTGAATCACTTACCTAATTTCAACTTTCTGCGTCTTCAAGGATTTGAGTTGCTTTGCAATTTTTGAAAATTTTTGGGCACTGAAATGATTTTTCATTTTTTGAGATTACGAAATTAAATCAATATTTATTCCACACAAAGGGGTTTTGGGGTTTTGGGGTTTTGGGGTTTTGGGG